TCATGCCGGCATCGCAGGGAATGAGCAGGCAGATGAACAAGCAAAGAAGGGAGCTAGGTCTACCCCTCAGACCAACACTCCCCCAGCAAGATATGCCTGGGCTCACCGGACTCTGAAAGAGGCCTTCTGGCGACAATTCCAGTTATACTGGACTGAGAACGCGCCACAGCAATATCATGATCTCTCCATCGGCCTAGATAAACGACCTCACGAACTATCCCTCCCCAGGGCCACCCTTGGTCGACTTCTCGCTGCCCGGTCAGGCCATGGAGACTTTGCCCAGTACCATGAACGCTTTGGGCATGAAGACGCCAAGTTGGACTGCTCATGCGGGCGCCCAAAGACCCCCCTATCACTTCTACTACTGCCGGAAAGGACACAATGCATCCCCACATCCATGGGGAAGTCGACAAGTGGATGAGATTCTGTGCTCTAAGTCAGGAACAAGGGACTTCCATGAATGGCTGCAGAGGTCTCACTTTTATAGCACAATATGTCGCGCACATTAACCCCTCAGCCCCCTCCACCCCCCCTAAAATCGTCTTCCCTCTTCCTTATATCTCTTCTTCTCTCTTCTCCACAGAATGTGTACTCCCGCTTTGCGGCCCCCAAGTTATGGGCAAGCTCCTGCGAGGGAGTCTTCGCCAGTGTGTATGATAGATTTAGCTTAGCTACCAGATAGGCGGTTTTACGCTCCGCCCGTCATATGTTCCGTTTCGGGACCCCACGGCACGTGATCTTACTTGACACATGACCGAATTTCTGACGTAAAATAGCAACTACTACTACTACTACTACTACTACTACTTAGCCGATAGGCCATCAACCAATTCATTACATACCAAATGGGGTTAGATCACATTATCAACAGCCCCACATTCAGGGTGGGCTCAACTGTAATCTGCCGGTATATATTCCGACCGTGGCCTGCTTTGTTGTTGCCTCTGTACCTAGACCATATCTCTTTTGACCCTGTGAATATTATATTCCTTCTATTCCTGTGAAGTTACGTACTCTTATATGAGGTATTATTCTTCACACTGTCTATTACCAACTCAGAATACAGTTTAAATACTTGTTGGATATAGGTAGGATACACCTATTCTTTAAGTCGAGTTAAGACACGTTCAGTTAACACACTACTGCCTGATATAGTACATCACTTGTGTTGCGTTATTATATATAGCAACATGAAGACTGAAGACAGGGATAGCTCCAACCCTCACACTCCCAAGGCCAGCAAGGCTAGATGGTTTATGGAGGCAGTTGTGATTATGTCTGTGACAACCTTGGCCACCAACATTGTTGAAACAGTCTTCTTTACACGGTTTGATAAACGTTCTGTTCTTCATTCCGTGATATTTATATCATTTTATATGTTATTTTATTTCCTGTACAAGAAGTACTGTGATAGGTTACGCCTAGGATGGCACTCGGAACAGGTCCTCGCAAGCACGTGACAATCATTCTGACGCGTCGGGCACACATTTAAGCGAGCCTTTACATACTAGCTTCTTCCTTCCTTTCTTTCTCTCTCCATCGGATCCTTCTTGTATATAGCTAGATAATAGCTTTAGGGGTCAACCCTTTACAAGTACAAGCTGTCATGGAACATGAACACTCCACCGCCGTATAGAATATTTGATTATTCTGGCTTGTTTGAGGGTAGGACATTCACTGAAGCATCGCTTAAAACCCCTCGCACACACTAGATAGTTGGTCACTGACAGGCCCGTGTCTTTCCTTCTTTTTCTTCTCATGTTGGAATTTCGCGAGATAGTCTACCAATAGATTTATATTGAATGAGATCGTCACCCTTAACAGCCTAACAGCTCAGGCAACCACTGATGGAAGGATCGTCAACTTGCATAGGTGAGACACTAGGGGCTCGCTCTCGTTACACATATGAAGCATGTATACAAGAGAAACAAGAAGATGGAGGAAGGATCAAGCGATTCATTCCTCGGAATACCAGAGTTACCTTGGAAAGCACTACGATAGTGATACGATAGCAATATATAGTCAATTCACCTGTATAGCCATACAAATGCCCAAGGTACAATCACCTACCGGCATTACACGTTATATATTTGAAAAACAAATTTCTGTAGGATACAAATGAGTGTATGTACATCCATAAGGTACTAGGTACCTAGGTCCTGGTTTTGCACGAGTGACACCGTAGCTGGGGTAGGCTACACAAGTAGTATATATGGCATATTGCCATGCAGATAGCAAAGCCTTTAGCCCGCAGTTGACTCAATACATTTCGCATCAGTCTTATCAGCGTTGTCACAGTTGTAATCCTTCTGAGTGTTAAATGCAGTCATCTCGACATTTTTGTTCTCTGCATAGGCCTCGTAATTGGAGCCTTTGCACCCTACAAAGAGACTTAGGAAATTGGGGCAATACTTGTTGACCTCGACGCCAGTAAAGCCAGCACCAGAAACTTTGAAGAACCCAACAACAGTCTCGCAGGATGGTAGTGGATGACCAGTACCAGCTTCAGTGCACATCTTGCTCTCAATAACCGAAATGATTGTGTGCACACTGCCAGCTGCAGCTTGGCTTATGGCACCACACACCATATCAATCTGAAACTCGCTCAGATTATCTTGAATTTGACCATGGCCCTGACATTGGCCATTCACAGGAGCCCTGGCTTCGATGGCACTTCCCCTGGAACCGTGGGTAGACAAGGTAAAAATGTCGGAGACCGTCTTATTGAAGATACCCATCTCAGATGACAGAAAATCAGATCCATCATGGGCATGATGGTTGTCTGTCGTAAATACAGAGACGAGCCTCATATCATTGTCCAATAATTTTTTAGCGTGCTCCTCAATCGTGCTGTGCGCCTCCTCTGAGGGTATCATGCCATAGTGCTTCACAGCGCTGGCAGCGGAGATACAGAAACAGACAAGGGTTGCCAAATGCATCATCATTGTTTTTTTGGAGATGTATGTTGTCCGTCGCGATTGACAGTTTATTTATGTGCAACACTTGGTAAAGACTGTAGCCTGGGTTCGTAGGGATATCTCAAAGAAGAATGACGATGAAAATTCACAAAAGTGTAATGTTCATAGGGTCAAGTAGCAATTTTCCCTGGCATCCTCACTGGTAAAATACCTGCGCATGAAGTGCATGAGTAATATCTAGTACCTATTTCCCCTCCCATGTTTCCCAGGCAGACACTGATTTCTGAATTATGGTTTCTGATTCCTGATTCCTGGTCCCCACGCACATTCATTTTGGCTTATGAGGAGCTGGTTAGATTGGGCTGGCTCATCCTGATGTCTCTGATGTCTGGCCAGGGGCCTTTCTGTCCCCACCCCAACAAAAGCTTACTCAAAAAATTCCCTCATGCGGGCCACATCCACTATAGTAGGTGTCACGGCGCTCTACTAGGATAATGGAACATCCAACTCATGGGTTCTACCTAGGTAGCTATCAACGAGAATAATCAACATGGGGAAGGAAGAAAGGAGGTGATGCCGTATTTATCAACAAAGCAAACAACTGCATCTCACGTGATAGCCAGACAACATGACCAGGCTGTCACAGTAGGGTGAATCCACTTGAGCCCACATGCCGGACATCCTATATTCCTTTGGGGGAAATCCGGCACAGTCCTTATGCGGATTTGTCCGAAATAATGGAACAACAAGACATCAGCACAAAAGAAAGGTACACCCTTCTGTTCGGGCTGACCCGAAACCCCTAATCCTACTTTAGATATAGCGCCAGGTCATGCCATACACAGTTTGCCTAGTTACAGCGTTTAGGATGATCTGTTGATTTGCTGAACCAGTGTGTCGGGATTTATCTGGTAATCTGCGCGGAACCATGGAAAGTGGATACTCAGAGTGGAGGATTCCCATATTGAGAGCCGATCCGGCGTGAACCGGCCCAACCCGACAACAACCTGCACGACAATTGCATGGCCATTACTTGCAGGTACTGTCAAACAATCCTAAAGTCCGCTACGGGGTCGAATAGGCTACATTTGTCACGGCTGGTCTATTATTTACGTCTAGATTTCAACATCCATGCCCTCAAACAGCAGCGGAACATGCCGAGAATAGGAGCGTGTCACAACCTGGCTTCCCTCGTATCGTACCTAGGGTTCTAGTTAGTTGTATTTCGAGACAGGACACTTACCCTAAGTGTCTTCCAAGCACTCATATGCTCAATGACCATCCAGGTCCTCTGTATATCACGTCGAAGGTATCTCGCCCCCTCCAGGCTCCGTAAGGTAGTCAACAGGTAGAATCAGTAAAGGTAACGAATAGAGAAACAAGGTCAACCGAGCACGTATGCTGGGTTGTTGGTTAAGTGCGGACGAGTCAGAAACTAGAAGGTAACCAATGCTTAATTAACTAGATTGATTGCGAAGAACTAAACTGAGTACATGAATGAGTGTCCTTATATATCTTCCGTTCTCCTACCATTCTGTATACCATCTAGGGTAGATAGATGGTAGCATATACCATTCCGTATACCATTTATGGTAGATAAATGGTAGGGAATCACGTGACTGATCCTTTGGGTTATCAGCTGGAATCCCTGTTCCTTCTGTATCTCCATTATTCCTTGTAACCCAATGATTCTGCCTTACCTTCCCGCATAGTCACGTGAGACTGATGTGGCTAGGTCTGTAACAGAGCGTTGGCATGGGCGGACCAAGTAAAACCAGGTATGAACGAGGTAAATGTGCTAATGAGGAGAGAAGAATTAACGTCCACTAATTTGCGGATGAAGTGGACCGATGTAGCGAAGTCGATTGGTGTGGTATTTCTGTACACGACATATTCCGCAGGATCTATGCTTTGATCTTAAGTCATTTGCCTTGCTTTAATTGGTTGGCGTAATAGCATTCTATCCAAGCCGCCCACAGTGATTGCGGCACAGTTGGCCTCACAGGCACAGTGATTAGGACAGTCTATTGATTTGTCGAACTACTGTGCCAGGAACACGGCGTAGTTGATGATCCGTCCGGAACCACCCGGAATATGGAGACTGATGCCAAATCTTCAGATATAGATGTCGACCAGTGCAGGCAAGGATTAGCCTGATACACTTCTGATATTACGGAGAAATGGCATGAATTGATATAGGATTATTTTTTTTTTTACTTTGGCGCTAAAATCCACTGCGGCACAGCTCCAGCTATTTGTATGCTCACCCCCGATCCTTTATGTTGTCAGTGTTTCTGCCTTGTCTGCAATTAGTACTGATTGGCTTATCACTTTATCCCTGTCGGTCGGGCTGTCACCCATCCTTATCTGAACTGGTCAACGCCATACTGTCCATACATCCAGAAAGGAATTGAATTTCAATGTCTCTACCTTCCGGGGGTTCCGGGCCTGTTCCCAGCATGGTGGTTCAGCGAATCACAGCCCTACTCTAGGCGCCGTGTAGAGGCCTTGCGCCGCAGCCACTATAGGAGATTGGGAAATTTACATAGAATGCCACTCTGATGACCAACACAAAAGCGGAGCCTTGTTTGTGCTCTGGCGCGTACTGTTTTGGTTGGCTACAGGCACCAACAGCCGAAGTTCTCCAATCGTCCCACTCAGCAAGACCGCCGTGAGATGTGCTACCTGGACAAGATGTCAAGGAGTCTTCTTACTTATTCATATTCAATGTAAATGATATGTATAAATGAAAAATCAACTTGCTCTCTTACTTTGGCCTTGATAACAACAGTGATGTTCTGGGTGCCACGGTGCCAGCCCGTGATCTATACACGTGACTTAGCACGTGATCCACAGAGTTATCTTTGAAACGAGCGGGTAGCTCAGGAATCGGGGAGTGATAATCCGGACTGCACGAGGCTATGTGGCGAAGAGTCTTATTTAATCAGAAGGATATGATATTGAAACCTATAGACACCTTGATAATAGAATGAGTGCTTAATCTTCGACATGTATGAGCCAGTCGACCATATATATATACGTATAGTGACCTCGCCACTCGGGCCGACTATTTATCCATCCGGCCTTTATTCAGCTTTCATCAATCTGAAGCGGGGCCTCTCGGATCGTAGCTCAAAGGGGAATTTGGGAGTCGATTATTCCGGACTAAACGAGGTCTATATGGAGAGAACTAGGCGAAGGTAGGGATATATTGTCTATCGAACGTAGGTGCGTATACGTAGCTGATTGAGTGCTTAATCTACAATATGTGCGTATGTATGTACCTATAACTTGATTTTCTAGAGCGACCGTGACTTTCCCCTTCCGGATGCCGCCGCTTTTGCAAGGATGCTCAGGGGCTTGCTCAGTGAGTATTTTCTGTCACAGGTCGGTACTCAGTGAGCACTCAGGGCCTACTCAGACTCTACTCAGGGCGCACTCAGTGACCAGTCACATGCACGCTGAGTTGCCCACCCCTCTTTATTTTGCGCAAGTAGTCCTTGCCCGACTACGCGCCGCAGGCCTCCAGGCTAGTCTCCACAAGTGTGAATTCCATGTAACCAGAACCAAGTATCTTGGCTTCATCATTACCACGGAAGGGATAGAGGTGGACCCAGAAAAGGTAGCTACAGTACTCCGATGGAACCGACCAAACACAGTGAAAGGGGTGCAGTCCTTCTTAGGATTTTGTAATTTTTACCGACGGTTTATTTATGGATACAGTCGCATTGCGAAGCCGCTAAACCAACTCACAAAGAAAGAAACTCCATTCTGCTGGACCCCAGACTGCGAAGAGTCCTTCCAGCGGCTAAAGCAGAACCTTGCAACCGCCCCAGTATTAACACACTACCGTCCGGAGCTACCAACGCAGCTCGAGACAGATGCTTCGGACAATGTGGTAGCAGCAATCCTATCACAACTGAGCCCGAAGGACAGACTATGGCACCCTGTAGGATACCTCTCACGATCAATGACTTCCGCGGAGCAGAACTATGAGATTCATGACAAGGAACTACTCGCTATTATTGCAGCACTGAATGAGTGGAGGCCTGAGCTGGAAGGATTACAGAGAAATGACCGATTCACCATCTTTTCAGACCACCAGGCCCTGCAATATTTTATGACAACTAAACGACTCAACGCCCGACAAGCCCGCTGGGCAGAGTTCCTGTCAAGGTTCCATTTCCTCATTAAATACCGAACAGGGAAGATGAATATTTGTGCGGATGCCCTGACCCGCC